ATAGCGTGCCTTTTATACGTCCCTGGGACACTGCAAACTTCCCAGGTTGGCCTCAACTACAGCCTGAACCAAAAGAGTATAGGAAACACCTCCTTCCCGGCTCAGCCTAGCAATTAGCCAGCTGATCCCGGCTGTGGACAGACCAGCCCCACCTTCGCGGCCCCGCTCTCCAGCCAATCCCACACTGCCCTCACCAAAGTCCTGTCCTCACCCCAAATCCCGACAACTGCGCGCCTGGGGTGGGACCAGGGTGGTCAGGCTGGCAGTAGTGGGGTGTTGCACGGTCACTTCCCCCGTGTGACGATCACACCTTGTTGGCAAGTAGCATCATCAGCTAAGACAACAGGTACTTTGTTGCCAGGTAGTGACCGCTGGGGAGCAGACCGTCACAGGCCACACAGTGCTTGGGTTGACTCGGGACACAGCCATTCTAGGGACCTTGTTAGTTTACGCCTCCGCTGGTGTGGGCAGAGGTCCCTTCTCTTACCAGGCCCTGGAGACAAGAAGCTCCGGAGTCGCGTCTCGCAGCAAACAAATCCTCCCGAGCCTGCGTGCATCTCAGAGCCCCGACGTTCCTCCCACGTGTGCCCGGGAAGCAGACAGCCCTGGTGGGGGTCTTGGTGCCACCGCCCGCTAGCTGCGCGACCTTGGCCGCGGCAGTGAGCCCCTCTGGGACTCCGTCCCTCCTCTGGAGCAGGAGGGCAAATCACCAACACACCTCACAGAGAGTGAGAACGAAAGCAGGTGGCGCCAGTGAAGCGCTCAGCGTGGCGCTTCACAGATGTGGGCACTTTATTATCATCCCTCAGCGCCTCTCCCTTGGTCTTTCTCCTTCCACAAAACCTGAAGACATGACTCACCCCATTAACACAGAGACTGTCAGCAGGTGGCCTCGCAGAGGCATTGTGCTCGGTCAGCTCCCTGTTTTAAATATTCTATTGCCAACGTCTATAGAGACACAGTATTTCACGTAGATTTTAGGCATTTCCAGCCTCTCTTGTAGCTGCTGCGCTGTTTGAGTGTTATCACCGGCTGGACAGAATTACCCAGCACCCAGGGACTATTTCATAAGGAAAAGGGAGTTACCTCACAGATTGTGAAGGAAGTAGCGAAAGTAGCCAGATGACCGGGAACTATAAAAATCCAGCCCCCACCCTCTGTATTAGTTTGCTAGAGCTGCTGTAACAAACAGGACCACACACTGGGTGGCTTACACAACAAAAATGTATCATCTCACAGTTCTGGAAGCCCTAAGTCCGAGATCAAGAGCGTGGGAAGGATGTGGCCCAGGCCCATCTCCCAGCTTCTAGTAGTTCCTCTGTCTTTGGCAGTTTTCACATGGTGCTCTCCCTGTGTGCATGTCCCTGTATCAAATTTCCCCTTTTTATATGAACACCAGTCATACTGGATGACGGGCCCACCCAACTCCAGTATCTTAACCAATTGCACCTGCAACAACAAGCTGGTTCACAAGACGCTTCCTGCTTGGATACCAGGAAAACTCACTAGAGAGCAAGTGCCACCAGACACCCCCCAACACACACACGGCTGCCAGCGCAGTGCAGAAAGCAAAACCCACACCAGAAACGGAAAGAGACGCCCTTCCCCTGTGCCTTGCAGTGTAGCGCCAGCACCCTACCGAGCCTAACTCTGCACCAGCTGGCAATGGAGAAATGTTCTCAGGGTCCAGCTCCAGAATCTCAAAGCAGGGCCCAAAAGGGTGGATTTGGAGCTGAGGGGCACTATATCGATAACTGGCACAGAGCTTCTTCCTCCTCCCTGCCCCAGCACTCAGTGAAGCATGGAAAAATCACACACACACAGGAAGTCAGCTCGGCCAAGACGAGAGCAGTTGCAGCGATGCCAAGTCTAGGACACTGCCACAGCAGTGGACCGACACTTTCTGCTTTGAAAAAATAAAAACCTGCATCTGTAATGCTTCCTTGTTCTCCTTCCTCTGGTCCTCCTGCTTCTGGTCTGTCCCCAGCACTCCCATTTCCTTCCAATAAAGCCCTTTTCTGCTCAAGTTCAACATGATGCCTTCTGTTGCTTACACTCAAGGACCCTGAGGGATACAAAGGATGAGTAGTAAGGAGACAAGTATGGGCAGATAGATATGCAGGAGCCTGAACAGCCCGTGTGTATCAGGAGTTGAAAGTTTTAGCAAAGGGGAAGGAGAGTGTTACTAAGACTAGGACTTCCCTGGTGGTCCAGAGGCCAAGACTCCACGCTCCCAATGCAGGGGGCCTGGGTTCGATCCCTAGTCGGGGCACTAGATCCCATATGCTGCAGCTAATCACACGCTGTAACTAAAGATCCCGCACACGGCAACAAAGATCCCACGTGCCGCAACTAAGACCTGATGCAGCCAAATAAATACATAAACAAATATTTAAAAAAAAAACAAGACTAGGTTCTTGTAGTAAGGATACTTCAATATTCCCAGCAAGGAATACTGAAAACGAGGGCCTCGACCCAGGGCAATGGCATTGGAAATAGCGGAGGGGAGGAAATAGAGGGGGCAGGAGGGGGTAGAGAACAGGCAGGACTTGGTGGGAATGGGATGGGGAGGAAGGCTGTATGACTTGGGCCCAAGTGGATTCTTTCAACAGATACTGAGCATCTACCTCAGGCACTGTTCTAGGCACTAGGTATACAGCTGTAAACACAGCAAAACTCCTCCCCCGGGCAGCTTACAATCCAGACTGGGGGAGGCAGAAAAAAGAAAAACAAGTAGGGACTTCCCTGGTGGCCAAGTGGCTAAGACTCTTCGCTCCCAATGCAGGGGACCGGGGCTCGATCCCTGGTCAGGGAACCAAGAGTTTGCACGCCACAACTAAGACCCGACACAGCCAAAAAAAAAAAAAACCAAGTAAGTAAAAGACATCATTTGTTGGTATGAACACAACTAAGCCAGGTGAGGGGATAGCAAGTGCTAGGAATTGGGGGTTGCTGTATATATCACAGGGTTCTGCAACCTTGCCACCATCCACATTTTGGACTGGATAATTACGTGTAGTGGGAGGCTAGCCTGTGCATATTTGGCAGTTCTAGTTGCTTCTACCAACTAGAAGCCAGTAATACCCCACACACACCACTCATGACAACCAAAAATGTCTACAGGCGTTGCCAAACGCGCCCTTGGTGGCAGGGGGCAGGGGTCATCCCTTGTTGAGAACTACTGTTGTAGATCACATTTGGGTTGTTTTGTTGTTTTATGGCCCAGCATTTATCTGTCTTGGCAAATGTTCCACGTACTTGAAAAGAATGCATTCTGCAGACTCTGGTCCATTCTATAAGGAGTCCACACATTATTAAAAAAAAAAAAAAAGTCATTGCCATGAAAACAAGCAAACAAAAACTTTACGAATTGTCTAAATTAAAAGAGACTAAAGAGATTGAACAACCAAGTTAACACGTATGAACCTGGAAAAGAAAAAGCTATGAAACATTTTGGGGAACAATCGAGGAAAGTGGAATATGGGCTACACAGTAGATATTACTGATTTTTTTTTTCTTTTAGGTGTGATAATGGTATTAGGGTTACTGTTTGGAGATGGATGCTCAAGTATTTAGGGGTAAAATGTCATGATGCCTGCAACTTACTTCAAATAGTTCAGCAAATGAGTGTGTGTCTAAGCAATGATAATTAAAACTCACCTGACTGGGAATTCCCTGGTGGTCCAGTGGTTAGGACTCGGTTTTACTGCTGGGGCCCAGGTTCAATTCCTGGTAGGGGAACTAAGATCCTGCAAGCCGTGTGGCACAGCCAATCAATCAATCAATCAATCAATAAACTCACCTGATTAATAAAAGTGTAAAAGAGCCCAATCCTGTAAGAAAAGTTATTTTAGAATACATAGAAAAAAATCTGGAAGCTATATGCCAAACATTTAACAGCAGTTTACCTTTCAAGGTTCATTTATGGAAGACTTTCACATGTTATGTTGAAATTCAAGCACTACAGAAATGTCTAATAGTGAACATATTTTGATAACCAGGAAAAATGTTTTAAAACCCCCCCCCAATATGTATTTATTGGATGACTATTTAATGGATGCCATTATACCAAGTTTCCAGCAACTGTCTCCTTTCTATGGGGGTTGGGTGCTGAGGAAGAGCAGACAGACAAGCTAGTGGAGGAACCACCACCAGAAGAAAAAAAGCACGCCAGAAAGGAATCGATGAAGTTCCTCTTTTCTGAGAAGTAACCTTCTCTCCACCAACACACCCCCAGTTCCTTTAATAAACGGACCCTTTGTTTTTTGGGGGTTTTTTGTTTTTTGGGTTTTTTTGCGGTACGCGGGCCTCTCACTGTCGTGGCCTCTCCCGTTGCGGAGCACAGGCCCCGGACGCGCAGGCTCAGCGGCCATGGCTCACGGGCCCAGCCGCTCCGTGTCATGTGGGATCTTCCCGGACCGGGGCACGAACCCGTGTCCCCTGCATCGGCAGGTGGACTCTCAACCACTGCGCCACCAGGGAAGCCCTAAATGGACCCTTTTTAACAACTAAGGTTGACTATTCTTTCTTCCTTGTAAGGTAACAGCAGAAGAGAATTTAAAGATATGGGGTTGTGGAAATACAAATTTGTTTTTATTGTGGCTTCAATAATACTAAATTTCAGCACTATTTGTGCTGATGGTACTCAGGAAACTGGCAGTTTTGCAAATAAACAAAAATTATCTGCCACCTAATGAAGCATTAAGATGCTTCAAAATGTCTTTCCACGATAATCATCTTGCCAAAAGAATCCACACAGTACAAGTAAAACCGGGGAAATCGGAATAACGTTGGTGGAGGGTAACACTGTCAATATCCTGCTTGTGACACGTTATTGTTCTGCAAGATGACACCATTGGGAGAAATCGGGTAAAGGTACACAGGATCGCTCTGTATTATTTCTCACAACTGCATGTGAATCTACAAGCTATCTTTAATTTCAATTAAAAATTTTTTTTAAAGAATCCACACACATAACAGACCAATGAGGACAAAAAGTAGGAAGCAAAAATCTTTATTTTTTTAAAAAATTCACATTTATTAAAAACAGCAAATTCTAGCCAAATAATATAAAGCATTTTAAATTAATTATTTGAAAGTATGTACACTCTTTGTATAAGTAAAGACTTGAAACTGTACAGATTTAAACAGTCATTTAGCAAACAAGTTGGATCACTGTCACCTACTCAGCACTTCTGTAAGGTGTTTGTTTCAGAAATAAAAGACTCAAAACACAAGAACGAGTGCCATCAAATATTTTTATCCTTAAGAACACGCTCTGCTTTGTACATCAAATTAAATCAGTCAAGTATTGTACAATAATCATGCCCTCATCTCTTTGGAAAGGCTATTTAAAAATCAAATGTACATATAATATACAAAACTGGATTGTACAGTTTATTTCATTAAACACATATTTAAAATAGTAAGTGGAAGTAAATATAATCTTCGTAATTCATTCACTTCCTGTTGAAGAATGAATATGGACCCTCTTTACCTTCTACCTTCCCAAAATAGAGAGTATTAAGCTCTATCAAGCAACATCCATCACCAACTGAGCTGAAAAACAAGTGACCTGTTTAAAATGACAGACATCAGGATACGTAACCTATCTACACATGGCGGGAGTCTGCTTGAAGCGGATGAGAAATGCTACAGTCTCACAGAATGCGGTCTGCTGGCTACATTCCAGAACCCCTGTCAGCATTCTATCTCTAAACTAGTGTCTGAATAACTCAAAATTCATCGTGAACCAAAGAGCAGGTTACATTTACTATAACATCAGAGGCAAAACCAATCCAATCAGGAAACGTATTTGTAGGAAAAGTCAGAGATGCGCATAATTTTTTTGATGATCGCTGCCATCGTTTGGTTGACTTTAAGGGATGGGTGGTCTTCGTCATCCTCGTCCTCTGAGTGAAATGTATCCTGCTGTCGCAGGGTACAGATCCACAAGGCAGGCTCGCGGCACAGCCACCATGAAGGTACAGGACGTGAAAATGTTCACTTTTCAAAGAACTACGGAAACGGAAGGCAGTGTGCAGAAAGCTGGTAACCCTAACCTTCGTGCACGAGATACACTATTCACCAGGCTTCCTCTCCTCCTTTATGTGCCAGACGGAAGACGCCAAACTTGGTACTTCCCCCTCACGGACACTGCCTACTGTATGTACCATGAAGATTCTCACGAAAGATACGGCACGTTATCTACCATGTGGACGCTGCAGCTACCTGCCTACTTTTGAACACTCTGCACCTAAGCAATTCATGGAGTACAGATCCAGGGACCTTACACCTTGAAACTACCTCACATCAAACACACAGAAAGATAACACATTGAATTCCCAGGAAAGCAGAACATGTTCTCAGAAGCACCCAATCTATCCCAAACTAAACTTCAAAGTGACAGGAGAAACATTACATTAAATAGGGTGTAGAAATAACATTTCTGGAAATAAAAAAATAGTCACTGTGGAATGCTCAGTGGTTAAAAGTGCAGTGTTTCACGCTTCAACAAACCTTTCTCTTAGAAGCTTTCTAATTAGCTGTATTTCTGTAAAGTTCTTTGCACTATTTATTGTAATCTATTTTCATTGCACATTTTTCTTAAGAACCATTTCATTGCGTGCCCACCATAGCTTCCTCTTAAAACCTTACACTGCTTGTGACCATTTAAATGAGGCAGTAATCAGCGCTCATAGATTATAGCTTATCTTTGGCATTTTGATGTTTTCAAAAGAGAAACACAAATCACGTCACACTTTGCTTCCACTTCATTCTGCGGTCAGCCCTGAGCAGCCCTGTGGTTCTTGGGAAGCCCCTCGCACAATTCCCCGGTGTCCTGCAGGCCGTGGGACTTGGCAGCCGGCTCCTGCCGGACCGGCCATTTACGCACACAGCCCGACAGGCCTGGTTATTTAGAAACTGACAGTAGGAGGTTCAGCTGAAAAGCAAAGAGAAAGGCCTTGTTAGTTCTGCTGTGGAATACCATACTCAAGATAAGTTGTTTAGATCCTCAAAAAAGAATGAGAGGAAATGTCTGGTTTTTAAGAGACCAGTAAACACGGCTGTAAGGTATAAACTGGACCTGCGGTGCTGATTCCGGAAGCAGCCCCGGGCGCTGTGCATCGTCGGGGCCTGTGGGGAGGTATCGCCGAACCCGGGCCCTCAAAATTCATTAAGCATCCAATCAGGAAGACAGAAAAGAACTGCATACCAACACTAACGAGAGACAGAAATGGCTCTAAATAACCGACTTCACCGGCCTCTATGCAGAGTGCGTTTCGCGGAGAGTTGTAAGTAAGCTGAACTCTCTAAATGACTCTTAACTGCACAAGAGTAGGCACGGCAGGTGAGCTTCACCTCATATGCTAACCCGGACCAGCAGCCCCCTGTCCCCTCTGTAAAGGAGCGCGAGACCCAGAGCCAGCCCGGGGAAAACCAGAGAAATCGCCACTGCGACAGGAGGGGCTGGCAGCATGTGCTCTGCAAATCTGTCACCCTGGCCTGGAGAGACTTGTGCCTAGATGAGCCTGGCAGTGCGCCCTTCTATACAGTAGGGTTTTGGTAATCAAAATAATCACCCCCTAATCTCGTCTATAAATGTGTACTTCCAGTGAGAGGGACACAAAATCACCTCTCTGTTTTTCCTGCCAAAAATACAAAACCTGAATCTAATCACGAGGAAACAGACAACACCAAACATTCTACAAAATAACTGGCCCGACAAGGTCAAGAAAGCCCAAAAAGGCTGTGGAACTGCTCCAGGTTTAAAGAAACTAAAGGGATGTGACACCTGAAAGCAACACTTGGACTGGATCCTGGACTGGGGAAAATAATTTGAATATGGATGGAGGATTAGGTAATAGTATCAATGTTACATTTCCTGTTTTGATCACTGTGCAGCGTGTAGGGTAAGAGAATTCCTTGTTCTGGTTCCTACTCTATGAGCCTGTGGCCAAGTGACTCAGTCAGCAGTCAGTATTATCAGCTGTTGTTACTAACTAGAAAATGTTAACGGTTCTGAAAGAGGAACAAGGAACAGTGAGCATGATGGTCTCTATTAGTGCTTTTCTTTTCTTTTTTTTAATTTTATTTCTGGCTGCCCTGGGTCTTCGTTGCTGTACACGGGCTTTCTCTAGTTGCAGCCAGCGGGGGCTACTCTTCGTTGCGGTGCCCGGGCTTCTCACTGCGGTGGCTTCTCTTGTTGCGGAGCACGGGCTCTACCCACGTGGGCTTCAGTAGCTGTGGCACGCGGGCTCAGTAGTTGTGGCTCTCGGGCTCCAGAGCACAGGCTCAGTAGTTGTAGTGCACGGGCTTAGTTGCTCCGCGGCACGTGGGATCTTCCCGGACCAGGGCTCGAACCCGTGTCCCCCGCATTGGCAGGCGGATTCTTAACCACTACACCACCAGGGAAGTCCCTCTATTAGTGTTTTTCAAACTCTCGGCTGCAAGCCATTGGTAGATCATGAAAATCATTTAGTGGTTCATCAACAGGAGAAGAAGAAAAGCAAAGCAACTGAGCCGCACATAGCGTGTGTGATTATTATCAAACTTTTAAGTTACAGACACACGTACACACGCTAAACCACGTATCTCACTGGCAGGAGTCAAGTGGGAGTCCAGTAACTCTGCATGTTCTCAGCCAGACCCCTGCTTCTCCTCCATCAGAGCTGCTCTCCTCACACCTTTATCCATGCTTACGTCACCCACCACAAGAAGCCCAGGCCTCCCAAGTCATTCCTCTGCTACCTCAAGGCTCTTTTCCCACCTCATGGCCCACCTCTCTGAAGTCCTGAAGCCCTGCCCCCCAGCCCTTTGCCAGGACAAGCTTCCCCTGCAGCCTTCTCCAGTGATGGGTGTTTCTCATCCACATGCCTGGTACCACTGGGCCTGGAGGCGGGATCAGAGTCCCCTCTGTTCCTCACTGTCATTTCCAGACCATTCTCCTTCCCTCTCCCAGCACCTCGCCCCAGCTTTGGTTTTCATTGTATCAGACCATGCCACGCTTCACTCCTCCATCTACGACCCCTCCGCCATCACCCAGCCCTGCACTCCTTGCAGATCTCAGAGCGCTACCACCCTTTCCTAAAACTACTCCTGTAGGGCTTCTTGGCGGTTTCAACATCCAGGTAGCTCACCCTTCCAGGCTTAGCCTCAGCTCCTCTCCTCCAGTGACCTCATCTTCCACCAACCACGTCAGCTACTCAGGCCGCGGGCACATCCCAGCCCCATCACTACCTCTAACTGCAACCCCTCCGCAGGGCCATCGTCAAGTAGCTCACTCTTTGATCGCCACAACCCATCTTCCCAGCTCAGCTTCCCTCTCACATTCCAACGCCAATGACCGTCTGACTCGACCAGGACCTGGAAACCATGGTTCCTCCCCACTCCCTTCCCTCAGCTCCCTCGCTTGAGTTCCACGGCAATCACTACAGCCACTCTCTTCTTTAACTCTCCCGCCCTCACCCGCCCCGCCTTGTCCCTCCTGGCAAAAGCACAGCCCTGACACAACCCTCCAGCAACTCCACGGCTACACTCATGCAACTGACGATGACTGGAGGAAAAAAAACATGAGACAACTATGCTGAATGCTTTTTCTTGGATTCATAACCGGCCACTGAACTCAACCGAACCTTCCTGCGGAATCTTCAGCACCTCCTCACTTTCAGTGGTGACCCTGCTTCCTGTTCCCCCCACAAGCGCAAAGCAGTCAGAGGAGAGCTTCCGTGAGCGCCCATCACGCGTGCCAGCTCCCTGCACGTGCGCCCACACGCTCGGCCTTCGCTCCTCTCTCCACGCTGAACCCTGCAGGCCCCTGACAAAGGCCCCACTCTCCAACTGCCCCTGCGATCACATCCCCCCTTCTCTTCTCAAGGACATTTTCCCAGCAGCAATTCTTCCCTCTCTTTAGATCTTCCCCACGAATATACAAACATACATTTCCCCTATCTTTAAAAAAAAAAAAAAAAAAGGATGAATGGATAATCCAGTAACAAATAAAAATAGCTATCTAAAAGGGGAGAGAGGGAAAAGGCTGGAGGGACTGGAAAGGGAAGCAAGACTTCTCCAAATTTACCTTGTTCCATAATTCTGACTTGGGAATCATGTAAACATTTTACATAAAAACAAAATTAAATCAAAACGAGCGGAAAAAAATCTCTAAATATTGAAAATAAACTAACTACATGTCAAGTTAGTGGTATAATCACATAGAATATTAATTGCTTCAAATGACTTATAAAAAAGTATCTTGACTAGGGCGTCCCTGGTGGCGCAGTGGTTAAGAATCCGCCTGCCGATGCAGGAAACACGAGCCCTGGTCCGGGAAGATCCCACATGCCGCGGAGCAACTAACCCGTGCACCACAACTACTGAGCCTACGCTCTAGAGCCCGTGAGTCACAACTACTGAAGCCCGTGCTCCTAGAGCCCGTGCTCTGCAACAAGAGAAGCCACTGCAAGGAGAAGCCTGCGCACCACAACGAAGAGTAGCCCCCGCTCGCCACAACTAGAAAAAGCCCACACGCAGCAATGAAGACCCAACGCGGCCAAAAATTAATTAATCAATTAATTTTAAAAAAAGAAGTATCCTGACTGTCTACAACCCTAGAACTACAGGGAAATCATTTTAAAATATGACCCACAGAGCCATACAAAGAAACTCATACAGCCATAAGAAAGAATGAAGTTCTGATACAAGCCACAACATGAATGCACCTTAAAAACATTATGCTAAGCCAGTGATGAAAGGCCATGTACTGTACGATTCCATTTAATGCACTGTCCAGAATAGGCAAATCCACAGAGACAAAGGAAGATTAGTAGAAGAGGGGGAATGAAGAATCTGCTAACAGGTAGGGGTTTCTTTGTTGAGGGGATGAAAGTGTTCTGAAATTAGATAGTGGTGACGGTGCCAGGACTTACTGAATATACTAAAAACCATTGAATTGCCTGCTTTAAAAGGGTGAATTTTATGGTATCTGAATTATATCACAATTTAAAAATGACCCCATTTCTTCTCCAGCTACCACCCCATCTTTTCTCTCCCCGTGAAGTAAAACTCCTCAAAAGACTTACCACACGCACGGCCTCCAGTCTCTCTCCCCGCGGGCTCCACCCACAGCAATCGGGCTCTGACCAACCTTACCACTCTCCCCCAGTCTCTCTCTCTAGTCCTTACCCTACTAAACTCCTCAACTAAACTTAAAACCAGAAATAAAATACCCTCCATAGCACCAACCTACTTCTACTCAATAAAAGCCTGCTGACTGAATTGAATAAATGAATGATAATAAACACAGGCTGAGCTCTCTATTTAGTTTTTTTAATTTAGGAAGAAGAGAGAAAACAGAAACACTTCTAACATCTATTCTAGTCCCTAAAACACTTTTTTTTTTCATCTAAAACATGGGCCTCCTATCATACATACTGCAAACAAAATTATTCAGCAATCTAAACACCACTGTTTGAGTCTCCCACAAACAGTTCATTCACCTTAAACACAGCAACCTTCAATACCAGAAAGCACTGAAAAGCAGCTAACGCCATCACTAAATATGCGAGAGAGCAATTCAGAGCTTAACTCTTGTTCATCAGAATAAAACAACGTACAATTTTTAAAATTACAACTAAAACACAGTTACTCAAAGACATTACGTACTCAAGTAAAATAACTAAAAGGTTATAAAAGTAACAAGGATCTTCAGACTTTGGATTACCTGTTCCATAGAAGGACAAGCAATGATCTGGATATCTTCAGGGCTGAACTCTTCCTTTAACAAGACATGGAACTTCTGGAAGACTTGCTGAATATTATTCTTAGAAAGAAGAAGAGGCAATCATTATTACATGAGTCACTGAAATCATAGTCAGTCTTCTTAAATATGAATAACTAAGAAAGTTCAATCTTACTATGTGCCAAAACAAGTGGAGGAAATGTATCTTCTAGGGCATTACCAAAGACGTTCAATTTGCATTAATATTTCACATGCAAGCACTACCTGTCTAAGACTTATCAGATAAGACTTACTGGAAAAACTAAACTCTAGCAAGCCTTGTCCCCCGCAGAGAATAGTAACAGTCTTCCGCAGCAATTTCTTCCACAGAAGATAATAAAGTTCCCAAACACATAAAGTGTACTTTAAAAATCAGCCAGCGCCTTGGGTAAAGATGTGAGCTCAACACAGAGCTGGAAGCTATGAGTACTAAATTTGCTCTGACATTTAATCCCTCCATGGCCGCTGCAAGCCATTTATTTCCGCTGCTCACCAGTAAAATGGGACATAATTCCTGAAATGCTGTTCTTTCACAAGTGCTGGGCCCGACATAATTCCTGAAATGCTGTTCTTTCACAAGTGCTGGGCCCCATCTCATGTGAGGGTCTGACTACTTATTTATTCATTTACTGATTTCTACTTTTAGGTAGAAATTACCCTTGTGCCACAGGTAACCATAAGGAAATTAAGACAAAATGAGGGCTGGGGGCGAGGTCGGGGAGATATAATCAGACAGATGCATGCTTTGTAAGTCTTTCAAGAATCACAGTGCTTTTTAGTCAACTGTACTAGAATAGCAGACCAACATTTCAAAATGTTTACAGGAAGAGGAAAATGGTACACAAGGCAAGAATACTCCAAGAGACGGGCCAACATTCAAAGAGATGATCACGACACTCACCCTAACTGGCTTAAACAGGACGAACTCAGTATCTTTATTGGATAGGTACAATGACATACTTCTCAACGTCAGGGGCAGCTTTGCTTTTATTGTCTTGTAGGCACTTGCCACAAGGTCACTGACTTTTGCTGGAAAGAAATTAACCTCCTTAGTATCACAAATAAAAACAGAAGAAACATTTCCATTTTAATTCAGAGGGGAATAAAAGGAGAGGAAAATAGCAAAAGAAGACTCTTTACTTCCCCAAAGAATTTCTTTCACTTTTCTTATTTATTTATCAAGTTTAATCACAAGCCCTATAAACATTCATTAAGTGCCTACTGTATACAAAATTCTAACCCCATGGGCTAAACAGAAAAAGAATCCCCCCCCCCAACCGCCGCCATGGCTCAGGACATTCATAGGGATAGTAACCTTCGGCATTTGGAGATAAGGTGTAAGGTAAAATAAAAGGTCATTTGCAGAGAAGCACTAGTAAGAATTACTTCGTAATGAACGAGCTTATTCGTTTGTAGAACTGACTCACAGTAAGAGATGCTCCCTGTCTTATGAGATCATTCAGAAAATACCCACACATATTTAATGGGAACTAAAAATTCACTTGTTACATTCTTATATTGTATTATCAGAAAAGGAAAAGAATTCCAGAAAATTGTAACTGATATAATTAGTAGCCCAGGTGTAGTGCCTGAAAAGAAGTACAAATGGAAAAGAAGAGTCGCAATCTGTATGAAGTATCTAAAAGAGAAAACTACCTAGAAAGCTATCAAAGAAAAGGCTGATTAATAATTTTAAAGATGCTTGACCTCACTCATAATTAACGAAGCGCATAGTGAAACAACTGAAATATTTCAGATTGGTAAAAATTACCAAGGTTGTGAATATCCACACTTGGCAGGGGTGTGGGGAGACAGGCACCCTCATCCACTGTTGTCGGGAGTATAAACTGTTCACCCTCTTGGAAGGGATATTAGGCAACGTCTAGCAAAACTGAAAATACACACACTCTTTCACTTAACATTTCTACTGCTAGAAATTTGCCTTATGGACATATTTACAAAATACCAAGATATGTGTGTTTATTAAGAGTGTAAGGAAAAACAAACTAAAAATAATTTAAATATCTATTAATAGAATTATTAAAGAAATTATGCTTTAGTGATATATTCTACACGTCCATTAAATAGAATGGGTAGAGCTGGATATGCTGGTATAGAAAGGGCTCCAAGATATAGAATAAGTGGTTTAAAGAAAAAAAAAAGTAAGGGATATTTTGTAAGCAGATAGGGTAAGAGGCCCCCGAAGAAGGAACACCAGGACTGGCTTTCTTAACGTAAGAGAAGCCATTTTGGCCTAAACCATTCTGTGATCTCAGCCTGGCCACAATGCTTGTCCTTTAACAGGTCTCAGTAATTGATGACCTTAAGGGAAGTGAGGGAATGCAGGAACACAGGAAAAGTAATAAGAAACAATAGGTCGGTAATGAAACAGCCCTAGCTCCTCCTCAAGGGATACAGAGAACAATCGGATGCACGTCTTTGAGCTCTGCAGGAACTAAGGCCCCCATTCGGGTGGAGGATGGAACGATGCTGTTGACCCCCGTGACTTCAGTTAACTAAAGCTTGGATTCTGTCAACCATTGCCCCGGTTCAATGCTGAATTCTCCTCTCTTCAAGCCCCTTCATGAATACATGTACCCTTAGCTTAAATTTCCCCAATTTTGCCATTCGGGGAGACACTGCTCTGGGAAAGACCCCCGGTGTTCTCCTTCCTCGCTGCAAGTAATAAATCCTTCCTTCTCCCACTCTTTGCCTTGGTTGTGTCTTTTGGCTCAATACCCACCAAGAGGCAAACCCGTTTTTTCAGGTAACAATAGTATAATCTTATTTGTATAACACGTTTCAAGTCCATATATGCTAGAATACACATAATTTTGGGAAAGCCGCCATTAATAGTGGTTACCTTTGAGAGAACTAGTTTAGAGGTGGAGAACAGAATTCTCTTTTTATACCTTTCCACAGTTCAAATTTTATACCATGTTAAAAAATTTTTTTTAATTGAGGAGGGTCGTGTAAGAGCAGGGTGAGAAACTGCCAATGCTCTCAAGAAGAAAGAACAAACAATCCAAGAATTCCTTATTTTTCATAAACAGATGAAAGCTCCTTTAAGACAATTAATTCCATGGGCTCTGGTCCTATGGTCACTAACACACTTCAGGGATCACTGGTGAGTCTTCAGAGCCCAGTTTTATGTGGAGCCTTGTAAATAAAGTATCCTAATTCTTAAAAAGGTATATTTCCCAGAGTAATTAACAAATTAGCATCCTAACTATAACTCAGTCTTGTGAGTTTAGCACAGAATGACCCCAAGAAGGTGATCAAGTCTGCATGAACCACTAACCCCGGGTTCTGGGGGCCCAAGATAAGTTTCTAGACTGTCCCTGGTGCTCCCACCCCAAAGACTTAAAAATCTTTGACATTTAAGTGTGGGCTTCTCGTATTACAGATCAAGAAAAAGCAACTCCATAGCTCCTTGAGGCTAAATGAGACGGAAGATACAACAACTAGGTAAACTGAAGTGTCACTGCTCCATCTGCCAGGATCTCCTCACTTAGAAAGAAACAAAATGTTTTAAATGACAAAACAGCAAGCCCTATTTCATCTAGTCTTTCTGTCGGTTTCCTTTCATCTACTCCTGCTTTACTAATGACAATTCTAGTCATACTTAAGAGCACAATACCCCTAACCCGAGGAGATCTATTAGGACTCCACTTGAGAAAATGACAGCGCCTATTTTGAGAAGAGAATCTTCCCAAAGGGGAAAGAAAATACATTAATTATGCATCAAGCCCCTGGGCTTATCTGTACTAACTATACTTATGACAATTTGGTGGTTTCTACCTATTTTAAGAGAGATTTATTGCACCCAAGAGTTTCATTTACATTAACGTTCAAAATAAAATCAGGTCCTATTTCTAAATAAGCTCTGTAAATGACAAACCTTGAGCCAATAGCCCAATTAATCCAAAAATGATTAGAATTCCTTCTAGAATCAGTGCTGAGTTACAGCCTGACAAGCCTGCTCCTGACCCTGAGGGGTCAGAACAAGTGATTACCACCAGGCTCACTATGGTTAGAATTTCCAGTATTGTCAGTAAAAGACTGGTTTTCTGTCTCTTGACAGAATATACTACCGCATGAAGGATGCTCTCTGTCCTTTAGTAAGATGGCAAAGATTTCAATCTCATATACAACACAAAGGTTTAAAATAATAAAGCCAGTATAATATTCACTGTCTCCATCACAGTAAACAAAAGGCCTAAAGCATGTCACAAAGTTTATTTGCAAAATAAAGCAAATCAATGCAAATCTATATTGACATCATCCAAGTTCACATGACAAATTTTTGAAATAAAATCCTGCCTTCCATTCAAATACCAGTGATAATTCTCTATGCTTACAAATCTTCCTAGGAGATACATAGCTACTCTTACAACTTCTTTGTTCTACTTCAACTTCAAGTTAACCTGAGGCACTAATAAAAATAACTGAAAATTTTAGAATGGCCTCAGTTCTTTTTCCCAAAAGAAATAAATACCTGACAGACATGCATTCTTTCATTATGGGAAACCAATCACGTTAAAAACCTAATTCCAGTTTTGGGTGCCTGTAGACAGTCAATTTTTTATGGATGCTAAACCAGAATCATTCTTTGGATCTCTCTCACTATGAGCAAAAAGCTTCCTACCGACTCGGACACAGCTCACCCATAATTAAAACACTGATTCTTTCGGCATCTTGCCCTTCTTAGTTTCAAAGGATCTCTATCACAATATGGGCCAGGGAATGGCCAGAAGTATCAATCTAACAAAATGATTTATTCTGGTTTAATGACAACTTAAAATGTCACAACATGGACCAAAAATAACCCACAAAACTAGTCGTGATTTTCAATGTCTAATGTTAAAGAGGGAAGAAAACACCTTCTCGCACAAAAAAATTTACATTTAGGAAAGAGTTAAGACTGGAAACATCTCCGGCACTTCTGCCAATCAATGATGGAGCCTGCCAACTCCTAAATGACACCACATTTTTATAATTTTTTTCAAACACTCTAAAATATTAAAGAGGATGTAACTTGCTTAAAATGTCATGTCCAACATTTCTTCATATAATACTTGGAAACAGCGGCATTCTCTCCATTAACTTCATACTACCAAACACAGTATTTTCACTCTAAGACAATGAAAATCAAGTGTACAGAAGCCATCACACTCAAAGCGTTTCCATCTAAGCCACATTTTATTTTTAACTGTGTGTGTGTATGTATATGTATGTATGTATGTATGTATGTGCGGGCATGTGTATATATATATTTTTTAATTCTTCCTTTTTTGGGATGCTTGCTGAAATGCAAGTCGTGTTGGCTCAATTAAGACCTGTCAGCTCCAAAATGAATCTTGCGTTAACCTAAACCACAGCAGGAGTAGGAAACCAACTTCAAGCTGTCGGAGCGCAGCTATATAAATGCAAATTAACTGACATCCTAAAAAAAGAAATCCCAAACAGTAAAACGTGGGTACCTGGTTGAGCCCAAGGCTGCTGAGAGAGAGTATACTTGGGTCCTCCCTGACTGGCCATTGTGTTTAGTGCTGAAACCTAGTAGAGGGGACAAAAGGAAAAAAGTTTCATTTCACTGATGACAAATTAAACTAGTACTGCTCTCAAAAGATACACCATTTGAACGTATGAAAGAATAATGATAATCAAATGTGCAGCCCTAAAAGAAAATGCATCATATCTCATAGTCCTTTACAACCAATAAAATATTTTAGCAAAACTTCTTCTGTGATTTCAAGGCATACACTGTTTTGCAAAAAGAAAACCATACCAATGTCCTGAGGCATTCAGCCTGAAACATTTCAGGGTAGGAAGACAAAAATGAAGACCAACAGAAACGTCAACACAAAACAGGCCTCTCTTTCAGTGGACTGTTAGGTTAACATTAAATTACTATCGTATGTTATTAGAAAAATGTCACAGCAGTTGGACAAAATCTCCTTTATATACCTAGAGGGTCCTTTTCTTCGTTACAGGCAGAGAGAATGTTATTAAAAAAAAAAAAAGATTTTCAGATAGCATCAAAAAGCACATTTGACTAGCCAGTGTTCTAGGTACAAGAAGTGGATGCCCACCCTCTATTCACCTGTCTTTTCATTTCTCAGCATCAGTACAGAGAAGCAAAACCATACATTCAGCTTTTGGACAAGAATGTTCTTAAGATGGCAAATTACGGTGCGGCTAGGCTGTAGCTAGGGAGGGTGAAGGACAGAAATGCACAAAACATCTGTAAAAAATGGACTGCTTGGGGCTTCCCTGGTGGCGCAGTGGTTGAGAGTCCGCCTGCCGATGCAGGGGACACGGGTCTGTGCCCCGGTCCGGGAGGATCCCACATGCCGCGGGGCGGCTGGGCCCGTGAGCCATGGCCGCTGAGCCTGCGCGTCCGGAGCCTGTGCTCCGCAGCGGGAGAGGCCACAGCGGTGAGAGCCCCGCGTACCGCAAACAAACAAACAAACAAAAAATGGACGGCTAGGTGCCAACGGTCCAGGCCATAACCTCGGCCTCAGCAGACAGTCTCATTAGAAAAACCTGAATACCAACTTTTTAGATTTCTCATAAAGAAGGCCACACAAATATTTAGGCAGAAGATGGGCACAGACAGGATATAATGTTAACTCAGGTCTCTCCAGCCCTCTCTCTATTTCTACCAAGTTCATATTCCTGGACCACTCTAGGCCTTTGCTCATGTTGCCATGTATATAAAATCACCCCTTTCCACTGTCACTCAATTCCTCTCTATGTCTTTACTTTTTATTGTGAGATGCAGCTTTTAAAAGTGAGTCATACATACGATTATAGGTTAGACAATGCTAAAGAAAAACATGTTCATGTTTAGTGTATATTATCCCAAATATTTCCCAGCGTAAATATATAAACATACTAATGTGTCTACATTTACATAAGTAGGAACACAGTGCTCTAAAAACTTTTTTCTCCACTTAAATCTAAATCCTGGACATTTTTCTGTATCTAATTGTTATGCTTTAATAGTAATGGCTGGCTGTTATGCCACTGATTGTTCCAGAATTTAACCAATTTCATAAAGACATACATTGTATATAACTATTTTTATACTAAAAGCAAATACAAACTTGTATACTCATCTCTATTTACTACCTAGATAATATACTTATCTTTAAGTTAAACCTCAAGGAGCATTTTCTTCAGCAGTTTTCCCCAATTAGCCCCATCTTTTTTAAAACCCTACAGGATGAAGACAGACCCATTGTCTCATAATGACATTGCTGTATACATCTTAATGTTTACATATTTTCCATCTTGATTTCCCATTAGGTTATAACTCCTTGTGAACAGAAATTAAATTTATAGGTCAAATTCTATTACACACACTATGCCGAGGAAAAGAAATTAATTTGTAGTGTTGCTGAGGAAATTAATAACACTTCAGAGGGAACATTAAGAATAAACTTGCAATACTTTAGCAAACTGCTTGAGAGGAATACAAGTCTGAGTTTTTAGCATAAACTGGTCCCACGAGGGGAAACACTTTTAGCTTAGCTATAAACATGAAATTATACTTCCTTTAAAATGCTTTCATTCAGATTTTTTGCAAAAGCAAAATCTTCACTGCAAATCTGTCACGTTTTACTATAAAATAACACTTCTTCAAGCACTGACAAAGTATGTTTATATATATAAAATCATCTTTCGGTCCCCATAATAACCTTAAGTAGGGAGGAAGGATGCAATAGCTATCTCCACTGTAGAGATTAGAAACTGAGGCTTGGAGAAGCTAAGTGACCACTACCATCCCAGTCAGGAGGTGCAGAGCTCAGCTTTCCTGCCTCGAAATGCTCTGCTCTTTCTACTACACCCACGACGATTCCAAGCCCTACTTAAGAGTTTGTTTCAAGCAATATTCAGTACAATAAAAGTCTAGGACATAAAAAAAGTATCGACAGTTTTTTAGTTTTAGAAAACAACTGACCCAAATGTTTTGATATGAACCGCCACCCCCAACACTTAGAGAACAGTATTACACTCCCTAGGGCCATTCAAATACTGAGAGAAAAGATTATTTTTCAAGGAGCAAGAAACAAGGCAATAGTTCTTCTAGAACCATTTTCTTGTTCTCAAGAAATTTCATTATTTTATAAAATAAAATTTTATAATTTTCTTGTTCTCAAGAAATTTCATTAACTGCTTCTCAAAAAAGAGAGCTCAAGGAAGGAGCTACATAAACTAAAAAGCCAATTTACAACAGGTGAAAGGGGACCAGAATCACACCTGGAGTCTTCAGGCTCAATAAACAAGTCTTCTGACAACCTAAGAACGTTCTCTATACACTCTCACAGCTTGTTTTATTAGGCAAACCTATATATATTTTAAAAATCAATCCAAACCTAGAAACAAGCTGAGGACATTTTGTTGATGAAGCTTACATCCAAATAGTAAATACTGAGTCCTACAAGCATACATCCAAATGAAAGATGAAATACTGTTTCCTTTCTGCATCTATGGATACTGCTTTTCTTGTGAGCATTTATCAAAGTACAAGAACTGGCTGCCTTACAATGCCAATTAAAATAAAAGGGGTATAAGATTCTGCACTTGCACAATTACCTTTAAAGAAAATTATTTTAAGGTTTTAAAATCATTTACTCTGTCTCTGCTATTCAGAATACTAGTAACATTGACCCGGTGAAACGTGAAAAATGTTTGGTCCACAAACTCTAAGAAATAATGTCTTAAATGATCACGTATATCTGTATGAACTCTAGTGCTTACAATGCACGTGTGCGTGCTTGTGCGCGTGTGTGCGTATATATCTTTACCTCTGACCCACTCTATGCCAACAGGACAGGGGAAGAAACCTAAATTTGGAATAAGATAACATAAGAGGGATGTCGGGTCCTCTAAGCCATAGTATCTACTAAAGATTCTCACTGAACAGTAAGGAGCAGTGAGGGACCAGGGTTGTAAAAGGAAACATGAGGCAACTGTGAATAATCTGAGTAAGGTCAACATAGAGTGAGCAGATAGAGGCGGGTGAGGGAGAACGGCTTCTCAATGATTAGGGGCAGGGCCTTTCCCTCTCCCAGTCCCATACTGAGAGGAATATAAAAAGAGGTGCATGAACAGCTATACAGGGGTCCCTGCTATAGATGTGCAGCATGTCCATGGAGGGCCATTACATAATTCAGACTTGGAATACATATTTTCTACATAAACCTCTAATTTTTAAAGAATGTTCGTAGTGTCCAGAATCTTCCAAATGCCCAGAGTTATACCAGATTTACCAAGTTTATACTAAGGTCAACTTGGACAACTACCATCAGTGAATTTTCATTCTCCTGACTTCTAGGAAAACTGTGCTTTTCTAGAAAAAACCCTTTAATGGCAGATTTCATTATAACCAACTTGCTTATATCAGAAGATTCGTTCTGCTGCTCTGTTACTGCAAAATATTCATCTACAGTATTTCCCACCAGTGGGTGCTCTCCCCAAAATACTACAATCTACAAACTAGTTTTCCATGAGGACAATTTCAGTAAAAACTATGATGACTGGTTTGTAACTTACAAAATATCCATACTTGCACCATTTTTCTTTTAATCAAAAAGCTGGGAGAAAACATTTACACCACCCTCCTTTTATATTTCTGTGGTGGGGAAAAACACACACACACACATTCCAAATACTTGATGAATGGGCTAAAAGCCACTAAACAAGTAATATACCTCAATGATAAATAATAGTTTAACATTTCTATATTTGCTTTTTTGGTATCATTTCTTACTTTCAAAAACTAATTTCTTCTGTCTTTATCACAGGACCCAGCAACAAGTTACCAATGTCTCCCCAGTTAAGACTTAGATAAGTAAATTTGAGAGAGAGGGCGGTCATATTTTTATTCTTTTTTAATGTCCTCTAACACAAGTCTGGACAGACAGTAGAGGCTTAATAAATGAAAGTTCACTTCAAGACTTCTTAAAGATCTTTATGAGGTAAGTCCTTAGTAACAACACTTAGGTTTTTTTAAAAAATGATTACGTTGCAACAGTAAAAGTCAAAACTGCCATGATCTGATTTTGCCTTTGCTGGCATCTGCCAGTTGATGGATTCTAGCTAGGAGACAGAGAAATAGACAGATTATTATAAATCCATATGTCTGGTAATTAACAATGCAATGATACAAAATCTTCAATTCTCAATTATCTACGCAAAATGAAAGGGAAAAATAGCATGTAAAACAAAGAGGAAAATAAATCACCCATTTAAGTAACAGGAAACCCTGATAGACAGGACTGTGATTACTGCCATGCAGGTCCTAATCCAGGAAAAGTGGGAGTCCCAGACCACATGCAGGTCCCTACAATGTGGATAAAGAGAACAGAGCTAACCAGAGGTCTGTTATAACTAACTTTGCAATATTTGCACACTTTCTCTTAAAACTGAAAAACTCTGCAAGCATACCTAAAAGTCCAAACCAAAAAGCTTCCATAATAGGAAACACAGTGATTTCTTAGACAGAATCATTAAGACATGGGTTTACTGTCTTTTTCTTTTTTTTTTAAAAAAAAAA